GGATGCTTCAATCTGTATTCAGACACCATCATTTCTTTCTCTGGAGATGGATAGCATTTTTCATTACAAATCCTTCAGAGTTGCCTTGGATCGTTGTATTGCTAAGAAGAGCTAAGTCGTTCATAGCTGATTATCCTACAATATTGCGATTACTTTGTATACAGTGCATTTCACTTTGCATCAGCCCATGCAAGTCTTGCAAATCTTTTTAGATTTTTCTGAGAGCATCTTTCTCATCATTTCTTATAGTACAGTAGTATTCCATCATAATCACATATCACAACTTGTTCAGCCATTTCCCATTTGATGGGCATTCCCACAATTTCTAACTATTTGCCCCCCAAATTGAGTTGCTAAACATATTTTTGTACATATAGGTCCTTTTCATTTTTTTAAATCTATTTTGGGATACAGACCTATAGTGGTATTGCTAGGTCAAAGGATATACATGGTTATATAGTCCTTTGGGTGTAGTTCCAAGTTGCTCTACAGAATGGTTGAATCAGTTCACAACTTCACCAATAGTACATTAATGTCTCATTTTCCCACATTCTTTCCAATATTTGTCATTTATCTTTTCTGTCCTATTAGCCAATCTAATAGGTATGAGGTAGTACCTCAGAATTTTTTAAATTTGCATTTCTTCTATTAATAGTGAGTTAGAATATTTTTTCATATGGCTTATAGATAGCTTTGCTTACTTCTGAAAACTGATCATATTTTTTGATCACTTATGAATTGGGGATTGGATCTTATTTTTGTAAATTTGACTTAATTCTCTATATGTTTGAGAAATGAGGCTTTTATCAGAGAAACTTGCTTCTAATTTTTTTTCATAGTTACTATTGCTAACTCTATTTTCCTACATGCTATCTCCCCCCTGTTTTTTTCTATTCTCTCTCTCTCTTCTTTGCTTCTGACCACCCCTTCCCCTATCTGCCTTCCCTTCTATCACTGCCCCCCCTTCTCTTATCCCCTCCCCTCCTACTTTCCTGTAGAGTAAGATAGATTTCTATACCCAATTGAGTGTGTATATTATTCCCTCTCTGAGCTAATTCTGATTAGAGTAAGGTTCACTCACTCCCCTTCACCCTTTCCCTTTTCCCCTCCACTGTAAAAGTTTTTTCTTGCCTCTTTTATGTGAGATAATTTACCCCACTCTACCTCTCACTTTCTCTTTCTCCTAGTACATTCCCATCACCCCTTAATTTGGTTTTTTAGATATTATCCCTTCATATTCAACTCACACTTGTACTATCTATCTATCTATCTATCTATCTATCTATCTATCTATCTATCTATCTATCTTTCTACTTCTTCTAACTACCCTAATAATGAGAAAAGTCTTATGAGTTACAGACATCTTCTCATGTTGGAATGTAAATAGTTTAACCTTATTAAGTCCCTTAGGATTTCCATTTTCTATTTACCTTTTTATGCTTCTCGAGTCTTGTGTTTGAAAGCCAAATTTTCTTTTCACCTCTGGTCTCTTCATCAAGAATGCTTGAAAGTCCTCCATCTCATTGAATGTCCATTTTCCCCCCTGAAGCATTATATTCAGTTTTGCTGGGTAGGTAATTCTTAGTTGTAATCCTAGCTCTTTCGCTCTCTGGAATATAATTTTCTAAGCCATCTGGTTCTTTAATGTAGAAGCTGCTAAATCTTGTGTTATCCTAACTGTGGTTCCATGACACTTAAATTGTTTCTTTCTGGCTGCTTGCTATATTTTCTCCTTGACCTGGAACTCTGGAATTTGGCTATTAATATTCCTGGCAGTTTTCACTTTGGGATCTCTTTTAGGAGGTGATGGGTAGATTTTTTTCAATTTCTGTTTTGCCCTCTGGTTCTAGAATATCAGGGCTGTTTCCCTTAATGATTTCTTGAAAGATGATGTCTAAGCTCTTTTTTTGATCCTGGCTTTCAAGTAGTCCAATAATTTTTAAATTATCTCTCTTGGATCCATTTTCCAGATCAGTTTTTTTTCCCAATGAGATATTTCATATTGTCTTCTATTTTTTCATTCTTTTGGTTTTGTTTTATTGTTTCTTGATCTCTCACAAAGTCTTTAGTGTCCATTTGATCCATTCTAATTTTTAAGTAACTTTTTTTCTTCAGTGAGCTTTTGGACCTCCTTTTCCATTCGCCCAATTCTTCTTTTTAATACAATCTTCTCCTCATTGGCTTTTTGGACCTCTTTTACCATTTGGCCTAGTCTGATTTTTAAGGTGTTATTTCCTTTAGTTTTTTTTTTTTTTGTATCTCTTTTACCAAGCTGTTGACTCATTTTTCATGATTTACTTTCATCACTCTCATGTCTCTTCCCAGTTTTTCCTCCACCTCTCTTTCTTGATTTTCAAAATCCTTTTTGAGCTCTTCCATGGCCTGAGACTGATTTATATTTTTCTTGGAGGCTTTGAATGTAGGAGCTTTGACTTTGTTGTCTTCTTTGAGTGTATGTTTTGATCTTACTCGTCACCATAGTAACTTTCTATAGTACAGTTTTTTCCATTGCTTTCTCATTTCCCCCGTCTATTACTCAACTTTTAACTCTTTGTTAAAGTAGGGTTCTGGGGGCAGCTAGGTGGCACAGTGGATAGAGCATGGGCCCTGGATTCAGGAGGACCTGAGTTCAAATCTGGCCTTTGACACATAACACTTACAGTTGTGTGACCCTGGGCAAGTCACTTAACCCCATTTCCTAAGCAAATAAATAAATTAATTAATAAAAATAAAGTAAGGCTCTACTTCCAGGGTGCAGAGTGCACTGTTCCAAGCTTCAGAAATTTTTGTGCAACTGTTTTCAGAGATACCTCTAGGGACCTGTAAGTTTTCAGTTCTTCCAAGGTGTTATGATTAAGGAGAGGTGTTTATTCCTCTCCTGGCCTGTGCTCTGGTCTGTGAGTGACCACAAGCACTCTTTTCTGTCCTGGAACTGTGAGCAGGGTCCCTCCTTCACTGTGGTGACAAGCTCTGGTGTGCTAGTGCTCCCCCTCACCTGGGGCTGCCACCCAGAACTGCAACTTGGATCTGGGTATGGGCAAAGCAACAGAGTCTTGCCTCAGTGCTAGCAAAGATGCCCTGTAATCTCCTTCTGACCAGTTGTTCGACCCTGTTACCATTTGTGAGCTGAGAGCTCTGGAAGCAGCCTCTGCAGCTGTCGATTGATTCATTCCCAAGGCCTACTCCTGGTTTGCTGGAGCTGGGGCTGTGCTGGTGCAACCTGTGCTGGACTATGCTCTACTCTTTCCTAGGTTTGACAGACCTTTCCTGCTGACCTTCTAAGTAGTCTTTGGGCTGAGCGGTCTGGAGACCTTCGATGCTGCCAGTTCAGTTGTCCTGAGGCCAGCTCCTAGTTTTGCTGGGGCCCAGTCTGAGATGTTATGGTTTGTGCTGGACTATGCTCCTCTCTCATTCTGGTGCAACAGACCTTTCCTGCCAACCTTCCAAGTTTTCTTGGGCTGGACATTTTTTTTTCACTCCATCTTTTATGTGTGTTCTGCTGCTCTAGAATTTGTTTGGTCATTTTTAAAAGGTATTTGGAGGGATTTGGGGGAGAGCTCAAGCAAGTCCCTATCTTTATTCTGCCATCTTGGCTCTGCTTTTTTTAGACATATCCTCAAAGTAGAAATTACAGGATCAGTCCTATTTACAGGTAGAGTACAACAGAATAAGTCTTTTCTTTCTTTTTATGCAAGACAACTTCCAATGTTGATGATAATTATGTCTCCCCTCCAGGCTAAATATCGACTTTCTCTCAACCATTTCTTATGTAATATGGGAACATAGTTGTGTCAATGCCACCTCTTAAATTGTTATGCATAAAAATAGACACATTATTCCAGATGTGGCCTTAGCAGTACAGTACACAAAATGTGCATTACCTCCTCTTAGTTGACCATTATGTCTTTATTAAATGATTGGTCTCTGGGATAACACAGAATTTTTTAAAATTGTGTTTCACTCTCTTTTCAACCTTGGCTATAACACATTGCCACTTTTCTAATTTGAGAGTTAGGAGGGGGAAAAAAATCTCTTAAAGCATGATTCTTTCGTGTTCCATGAATGCCCTAAATGCCTGGAATATTTTTCAACTTTTTACATTCCATAAGAGAGTTTCATAAGTGAAGGTAGATTTAATTTAGAAAATTTAGTCAATTCATGAAAGATGGTCGTGTTGAACTGATTGAATTATAACCATAATCTATAATTGCCAGTCCTAGAAAATCTTGGATACTTGATCAAATGAATCATTTTATAATTTTTTAGTTATGAGGAAAACAGGTGGTACAGTGGAGAGAGCATTGGTCTCAGATTAGGAAGAAAGGAATTCAATTCTTGCCTTGAATACTTCCTAGCTATGTGACCAAGTCATTTAACCCCTTTTAATATCATTTTAGTCATCTGTAAAATGGACATAATAATAGCACTTACCTCCCAGGGTTGTTGTGAGGATCAGATGAGAAAGTGCTATGTAAATGTTAGGTATTATTATTTTGTTATTATTATCTGAAAATAAAGTTAAAAATAATTATTTAAATCAAATTCTGAGAGTAACAATTGTTTGGTAACATTTAAAATAGTGAGATGCACTTTTCATATTGAGTGCCCACAAATGTTTACAAAATTCAGTAAATTCTTTCTATATAAAAACATGTTAAATTTAATGAATAGTTTTCTTGTTAATGTTGGAATTCTTATAACTTGTATCTATCATATTGTTGAAAAATAAAACAATGGAATGCTAAATATACTTCCTGTAATCCTAAACCTCCATTTATGCCCCAAAATATTCAAGAAAAACATTTTATATTGGCTTAAAATTTTTACCCAATAAAAATACATACATTAGCAGTACATAGTGGGTTCGTTATGAAACATTCTGCAATTTCTCTCGCTCACCTTCTGTTTTACATGTATATTTATATATCACTACTTTGTAAATAGCTGAAGTTTTGTTTTGTTTTGTTTTGTTTTGGGGTGTGTGTGTGTGTATGATTTAGGCTTTGGAAACATCTCGCCACGTACAGAAGGTGGAAAGATATTCTGTATCATCTATGCCTTATTGGGAATTCCCCTCTTTGGTTTTCTATTGGCTGGAGTTGGAGATCAACTAGGGACCATATTTGGAAAAGGAATTGCCAAAGTAGAAGATACATTTATTGTGAGTATTTAAATATTTTACCGCATATATTTGCTACAAAACTTATGGATGTTTGATGAGGAAGCAAAGTAAACTTAAATGAACAAATAATTTTTCTTTATTCATGGTAAATATATTATTTTTTTAAAATCATAAAAAAGGTTCTATATCTTTCTACATTTTATGACCTTGCATATGTTCCCAAAGTGGGTGATACCATCCCCTGGCGGGGGGGGGGGCTCTGGTATTTTTTTTTTGAAATAACACAAATTTAAAAAAAACTATTAAAGGGTTAACGAGGGGGTGCTAAGTAATTTTTTGAAAAGAGGGTGGTAGGCCAACTAAGTTTGGGAATCTGAGAGTTTAGCTGATTGAAATTTTATAGCACTTTAAAATTCATGGCACTTCATATATATTCTTTTGTTTGAGTCTCAAAACAACCCATTATGGAAAATTGGGTGATGATTCATCTATTTAAATTCCAGATTTTAAAAAACAACAACAACCCTGATTTAGTAATTTTTAAGGCTTTAACAGTATAACTTAATTTTCATCAATTAAGAGGAATATTAGGACATAATAAGAGCAACAACAGCAATAAGGCAGCTAGGGGGTACAGTGGATAGACTGCTGAGCCTGGAGTCAGGAAGACTCATCTTTCTGAGTTCAAATATGACCTCAGACACTTACCAGCTGTGTGACCTTGGGTAAGTCCCTTAACCCTGTTTGCCTCAGTTTCTCACCTGTAAAATAAGCTAGAGAAGGAAATGGGAAACCACTTCAGTATCTTTGCCAAGAAAACCCCAAATGGATTCATGAAGAGTCATGAAACAACAGAGAAACAGCAAAAATTATCATGCATGTGAAGCAGCATGACACAGTAGATAGAAAGTTGGCCTTATAGGCAACAAGACCTGGATTTCAGTCTTGCTGCTGACACCTAATGACTATGTGATTCTTGGCAAGTTACAACCTTTTAGTGCCCCAGGCAACTCTCTAAGACTATAAATTGAAGAGTCGGTGGTAATCTGCATTGATAGAGGTTCTTCACTTTGAGTTCCCTACGTGAATAAAATCATAGGTCCAATCCAAATTAAAAATTTATCATGGATAATCCAGTTTTACAGGTATATTTGGTTCATTTCAAGATATTTATTGACTACCATAAAAAGCATCTTTTTTCAGTTTTTAAACTTTATATTGGCTAATATTTAAATTTTCTTGTATACTTCTGTGCAATTAGGAAGTTATTATGGGATAAGGAGTTATTCCAAAATTGTACTGGTTGGCAGGAGAGAGCGAGCTTGTGGCATTCAAAATTAGCTATTAAAAACATCCATGTGAATAATTGAGAATTGCCATTTTATGATTATTCCTTTTGCTATTATTTTGTGTGTGCCTCAGTGGCATGCCACGTGATAACTGTTACTGTCATCTGAGGACATGTTCTTAGATACTACATGACTTCTGTAAGGCAAAGCATTGCCAGCAGGTGTCATTGATAAAGCTAAGAAATTGGCAGGGGAACACTCAGAAAGCAAAAGAAGAAAGAGGGACAAAAAATAGAGTAAAAAAGTACAGAAGGAGAAAGGGAGGAGTAAGAGAGAGAGAGAAGACAAATGGGAAAGAAAAGGCAAGTTTTAAAAAGATGAGGTTCATATCCTGTTCACTGGGACCAGTGTCCTAAGTCACAAACCCCTTTTCTTTTTGTTTCTTGTTTGATATGATCATAGAGTCAAATCTTGGACAAGATTTTCCTGACCTCCTATTATAGGTGTGAATGTTGGGTTGCTTTTCCCACATTGACTATGATATCTTCGTATAGATTCATATATAACCTGTTGCTTGTCTCCTCTGTAACAAAAGAAATCATTTCACAAAATGACTTCCTTTATTAAGGCCGTGAAATAGAGGTTAAAAACAGGCCCAGGTGGGAACCAAACCCATGTACTTAGGGCTAGTAAACACTTAATTGAAGCTTTATCTCCCTCCCTTCCTCTCTCCCTTCCTCTCTTCCTTCTTTCCCTTCCTTCCCTTCCCTTCCCTTCCTCCCCTCCCTCTTTCCTTCCTTCCTTCCTTCCTTCCTTCCTTTCTTCCTTCCTTCCTTCCTTCCTTCCTTCCTTCCTTCCTTCCTTCCTTCCTTCCTTCCTTCCTCCCTTCCTCCCTTTCTTCCTCCCTCCCTCCCTCCCTCCCTTCCTTCCCTCCCTCCCCTCCCTCTTTCCTTCTTCCTTCCTTCCTTCCTTCCTTCCTTCCTTCCTTCCTTCCTTCCTTCCTTCCTTCCTTCCTTCCTTCCTTCCTTCCTTCCTTCCTTCCTATCTATCCATATTTTAGTCAAGTAAGCTAAATAATCACAAGAACCCATATTAGGGCCATAACCTTTGTTTAAGTCAAGTCAGGTCAAGTTAAAAAACAAAAACAAAAACAAAGAAAAAAAACATTGGTTAAGCACCTATTATGTATCATGCACTTTGCTAAATGCTGGAGATACAAAGAAAGGCAAAAAAATATGCCCTACTCTTATGATCTAAATGGCAGAGATGACAAGCTAAGTGCTATACAAGAACAATATATAAACAAGATAATTTAGAAGTAATTTCAGAGAAAAAGCACCAGCCTTAAGAGGACTGGAAAAGACTTCTTGCAGAGGATATTTTAGCTGAGACTTGAAGGAAGCCAAGGAATCTAGGAGGTAAAGATAAAGAAGGAGAGAATTCCAGGTGTGAAGGACGGCCACAAATGTACAAGGTCAGAAAATAAACTGTCTTATTATCTCATTATGCATAGCAAATATTGAGTCCTAGGCTCACTCTCTCCTCTCAACTAAAGCTACTTTTAGAAAGACACTCACCCCCTAATTTCCCTGTAGAATAAAAAATATATTAGTTTTAGTCTAAGCAAAAAATAACATGAAAATATAACTTTGAACAATTAAATTAATTAAATTCTATTAAAATGCTTGCCTTGAAATCAGTAGGGGACTAAGAAGCATCGTCACTTGCAATTATTTTTACACAACTGTACACGTCCAGTTTTTCAGGCATACCAGTAATGCAAGTCTTCTTCTTCTTTCATGCCCAGAAGTGGAATGTGAGTCAGACTAAAATTCGAATCATCTCCACAATCATCTTCATCTTGTTTGGGTGTGTTCTCTTTGTTGCCCTACCTGCAGTCATATTCAAGCACATAGAAGGTTGGAGTGCCCTCGACGCCATTTATTTTGTGGTCATCACTTTAACAACCATTGGTTTCGGTGATTATGTTGCAGGTAAGGGTCGTTGTTTCTATTTTTGTTTTCAGTGCTCACATCTATTCTTCTCATGGTTATTTTGATGGGGCTTGAATGAGAAGAAAGCAAAGATTCTCTTGTTATTGGCTTGGACTGAACATGAGGGTAGAATTTAAGAGTATAGTTGTCATGTGACATTTTAGAGATAGACAGAAGCATGGTGACTTAACTTCCACTTTGTAAAGGAATTTTACACTCCTTACTGTACAGTCACACTGTAGGTTTAGAAACTATAGCAGTGCCAGTTTTCATTGTTACTCTTTTAAGCAATGCTGACTTAAGAAAATGTTATGTTATGTGATAGCATTTAAGAAAAAAAAATCTGACTTCAACTTTCATCTTCTACTTTTGCTTTACATATACTTTTTTCTCTTTCTATTTGCCTTGCTGAAAATGTCATGGCCTATTGTATTTTGGTTTCACCAGTTCTATGATTTTTTTTTTACTCCAACTCTTGTTTGACTCCCTATTATATCCCCATTCATCTCCTGCTCTTATCTTTTAAGCCCTCTGCCTTTAGCAGAACACTTGCTAAGCCAGTTCCCACAAATACTGATTCATAGTTTCACTGAATATTATGGCTACAAGGGACCATAGAGATTATTTAGTCCAAATCTTTCATTTTAGATATGAAGAACCTTTATCCCAGAAAGGCGACATGTTCGAATAGTAGCCAAAGCTGGACTTCTTCCAGGACTTCTTGGCCTAAGACCAAGGGACCAAAATTCTTTCACCTCCATCATTCTGTCTTTCTATGATAAATTGGGAAACACATTTTCATTTTTTCTTTTCTTTTTTTCTGTAACCCAATCAGTGTTTTTAATCAATATAGGGAACATTGTGTGATGAACTCCCTCTACCAAGGCAGATCAGCACCTTTTCTACAATCTACAATCTTGGTGAGCTGCCTAGGGATGAAAGGAAGAGAAGTGTATATGCTGAAAGATTACCTTCTTTGGCCACGGTCACACATCTAATGTGTCATAGGCAGGATTTGAACCCAGCTTTTCCTGTCTCTGATGCCAATTTTCTAACCATTATGTCTCACAGCCTTTCTTCACTTTGGTCAAATACTCTGAAAATATTTTTTTTTGTTTAAAATACCAAAGCAATTCTCAATTTTCAGAAGATAATTATCTATCCTGGAGAATGAAATGTTTTTCATTTATACTCTTACTTCAACTTGATCCTTCCTTTTGCATTTTTATTACTTATTAACAAGAAGATAAGAAGGGGAGAAAAAGGAAGTGAAAATTCATCATTCAATTGGTTTCATTTGGGAAATAGGTCAAAATGAGATTTAGGGGCTATCTATGAATTTCACTTTTCTATTCTTCTCTTTCCTTGTGTTCCTTCTCTTAATGTCTAACATATGACTATTAGAGTTATTTGTGTATGTTCTACCTCAAAATTGACCTAATTGAAGTGACTGAAAAAAAAATGATCCTGTTGTGAGGTCACTGAAATCTTTCTTTAAAAATTATGTTTTCTGTTCAATCCTCAGTTTAAAATATCTTCTCTCTCAAAAAGTCTTTTTTAAAAAAAGAAAACGGTTTTTGATATTACCGAAAAGTTTTACAATTCCAAGATCTGTGTTGTGTTGGAGGCATGTGGAAAAGCTGATTGCTAAGGAGCAAAGAAGATGCAAATTCTTAGTATATATCATTGTATACATGATTGGAGGGAGCAAGAATAAAATCTTTTCAGGAAGAAATATGGAATAAAATGATTGAGAAACCTTCTGATTTAACTCTGTCATAGGGGTTTATGCTCCTGGCACACAGATGCACTGTGTGACTGTAATTATTGTCTTCTCTATTCCTACTGGATAGAAAGCATGAAAATGAGAGATAGCAATTAGTGCAGAGAACCAGAGAACAGATGTTAGCTTTCTCTTTCCACTTGGCTACTCTTTCTCATGTTAAGACCACTAGAGTCTAAGAAGTAAGGCAATGAGAATTCTGAGCACTGATAACTAAGAAGGCCTGTGGCAATCAGAGAGCTGGACCTAAGAATTTATAACTAGCCACTGGCGAAAACTACTAGGGATTTTTAAACTCCACCCTACTGAAATTTTGAAACTTATTCACAAGCTCTAGGACAGATCTGATATCAAGATAAGGATTCTGAGTTAGAAAGAGGTGCCCTAACCATGTCTGTGGATAAAGCCAGGGTTAAGTTAATCAGATTGATAACAGTTATAGATTGAAGAGAAAGGTACTACATTGTACCTAAGCATTTATTTCTTCCAGGGGTGGGCAACCTACTGTCTCCAGGATACACGTGGCCCTCTAGATCCTCAAGTACAGCCCTTTGACTGAAGCCATGAACTGAATTGACTGAATCGCAGAACAAATCCTTTCATTAAGGATTTGTATACTCATGTATGTATATGTATACATATACATGTATATGCTGTGCATGTACTACATACTATGTATGCATATACATGTATGTCCATATGTGCATATACTATTTAAATATTCATTTAAATTTTTGAAATTTTATTCAAATTTATTTAAATAGTATATATGCACTTTTTAAAGAAATGAATTGTTCATTATGAAATTTATATGACATAATGTATATAAATATATTTGTTTCATATATATGCATCTGTATAATCTTTACAAAATGGTGCTTAATAACAATGATTGGGTTCAGTCGATTTAATTTTTGTGTTTAATAAATTCACGAAGATCATTTAATGGACTCTTTTAGAAGAAATGGGGGATATTTAACATGGAAAAGAGATGTCATAGGACAGAAAACACTTTCAGATATTTGAAGAACGGTCATATGAAAATGGGATTGCCCTTGACCTATCCTAGGTAATAATTTAAAATGGTGAGGTACTCTCTTGATCCAGAGAACCCCACAAAATCATGCAAATCAAGGAATTTCAAATTTCCGGGTCCACTTCAAGAACACCCGTGAAAGAGCCCAAGCTATCAAGGCATGGATATCTGAAAAGCTACCAAGTATCTGAAAGATGTCACATTGAAGAAACAAGGCATTGCCTTCAGGCGATATAGTGGTAGAATTGGCAGGTGTGCCCAGGCTAAGCAGTGGGGTTGGACACAGGGTCGTTGGCCCAAAAAGAGTGTTGAATTCTTGCTGCATATGCTTAGAAATGCAGAGAGTAACACGGAACTGAAGAGTTTGGGTGTGGATTCTTGTCATGAACATATCCAGGTTAACAAGGCTCCCAAAATGTGGTGGTGTACTTACAGGGCTCACAGTCGAATCAACCCATGCATGAGTTCTCCTTGCCATATTGAGATGATACTTACTGAAAAGGAACAAATCGTTCCTAAACCAGAAAAGGAGGTTGCTCCAAAGAAAAAGATATCCCAGAAGAAACTGAAGAAAAAAAAGCTTATGGCACGGGAGTAAATATGACATTAGAATGCAAATAAAAGTGAAATGAAACCATTTGTTACAGTAAAAAAAAAAAGAAAATGAGATTATCTTATTCTTCTTTAACTAGAGGGTAGACCAATTAAGACCAATGGGCAGAAGTTACAGGAAGGACAGTTTTGTTTCAAAATAAGGAACAGCTTCCAAAGAGGGAGGACAAGCTATATACATAACTAAATATGTAATAATATTATAGCTAACTAGGAGAGGTCAATCAGAGAAGACAACTGTAAGAAAAATGGAATGGATAACATCATTCGATTGTGAGTGCTTTCTAATACTGGAGGTGTTTGAACAGAAAAGCTAGATGACCATTGCTTAGGGATGCTGTAATGAAAATGTCACATTCATGTAGAATTTGGATTAGATAGCCTCTAAGATCTTTTCCAACTCTGAGTCTCTGATTCTCTAGGGAAGACATGGCTAGTTAGGTGATGTTTAATGGAAGAAATAGGAACAGAATAGGTGGAAGGAAAAAGAGAGGCTAATCTAGATGGTAGGGACAACATGAAGAAGGAGGCAGACAGGAATTATCATGATATACCTTCCCAGGGACATAATTAACTGTGCATTTGTCATACTAATCAAATTAAGACCATCAAGGATGGCTATCATTACCAGGCAAGCATACCAAGAGAGTCAAAGTGTCTATTGATTGGAAAATGACTAAACTAGTTTTGGCTCATGAATATAATCAAGTATTACTGTAGCATAAAAATGATGAAAAAGAAAAATACAAAGCACAAGAGGACTTACGTGACATGATGCAAAGTGAATAAATCAGAGAAGAATGAAACATCAGGGAGAATGGGATCATTTCTAATTGAGGGTAGACTTGCCAAGTAGTTGTTATTTTACTAGGCTGGCTAGTATTTTATCACCGAAGCTGGTTTCTTCTCACTGACAAGCCATTTTGTATCTGTTGAGTTTTTGTCATAGTAGTTGCTATCGTTAGTTTTAATTTTGGCAAGCTCAGCTAGGAGGTATCAGGGAAAATTTCCTGAATGAGCTGACTTCTGAGCTGGGCTCAAAGGAAGAGAAGGATTTCAAAAGGCAGAGTTAGGAAGGGGGAGAGCAGGATGAAGCTAGTACCTCATTAGGTTAGAATATAGAATACATAAAGGGAAGTGAAATACTCTGGAGTGATAAACTGTAGGCACTATAGCCATACTATATAGGGTCTCAAATGCAAAGATGTTTATATTTTATCTTTTGGGTAACTGGAATTGCCGAATAGATTCAGAGCTTGAAGAGACATCATAGGCCATCGAATTCAGCCCCTCATTTTAGTTTCTACCACCACGTTACAATAATTAGCTAATTTAAGCCTAGCATACAATATAATAACCCCTTGGGTCCACTTGGTTTCCTTCTCTTCAACATTAGGGAATTTATTTTATAGGAAAAGTTTTGAGTTTGGTCATGATTGTTCTGAGCCCCCAGTTGGGAAATTCTTGATACCTAGCCAGAACTCAGGCCCTTTGCATAGCCTCGTATTTGTATCTATCTCTAATTCACCTTCCATTTGTATCTTTCTGTAGTTCACCTTACATTTGTATCTACCTCTAGTTAGCCTTTCTGCAGGCAGTTAGGTGTACAGTGAATAGAGCACTGAATGTGGAGCCAGGAAAACTCGAGTTCATACCTGGCCTCAGATGTTTACTATCTACGTCATACCAGACCAGTCACTTAACTTCTCTTTGCTTCACTTTCCTCATCTTTAAAATGAGGATAATAAAAGCACCTAACTTCATGGTTGTTGTGAAGATCAAATGAGATGAGAATTATAAAACACTCTGTATAGTGCCTGTCCTGTAGAAAGTGCTATATTAGCTATTGGCTATTAGGAAGTAAAATTCAGGTTACTAGACTGTTTAGATAACAAAACAGCAGATTGTTATAGTGGATAGACAGGCATCAGAAGGAGCTCTGAGACTGTCTAGACCTCAGTTCCTCCTTATGACCTAGCACATAAACTTTGGAGGGCTCTGATGCAAATCAATACTAGCTTATGCTTTACATTCACTAAGTGCTAGTTGACTGACTTATTGTCACTGTCAGAGTGCTCTGACTGCTCCTCATCATGATTTGTGGAGAGGGAGGTCTCAATGACAGCCTCTGGCAACATCGTGATTCTTCCCTCTCACATGTGAACTTGAGCTCGTGAGTACCCGTTTCCAATGACCAACAGGTACTGTGATTTCCCTATATCTCTGTGGCTCTTTTTGGATTTTCCAGCTATATAGCTGGAGTGTACACAGTTGTGGTCAATGTCTGGGGCATAGATGTATAATCAGTCCTCTATGATGCCTGTGTAACACATGTAGGCTCTGAATCTACTCCAGGGCAGGAACGAGACATAGTCTCTATTATGACCAAAATTATGTACCTGATGACCGTCTTATTCCTCTACCCAATAACCTTCAGTGAATCCCCATTACCTGTAGAATAAGTTGTAAACCCCTTATCCTAGAACTTAAGACCTTGCAATTCCCACTAGCATTATCAATTTGATTTCGCATGATGCCTGATTGTTTCGGCCCAGAATCAGCTAGTCAATGTGAGGGGAATTACTTTGTGCCTTTCGTCAAGCTACTTTTGTCCTAAAATGTATCTAGAAATCAACTTTTCATTTCTGACCTCTGTGAATTTGCTCAAGCTGTCCCCCATGACTGGAATTCAGTCCTTTTTATTTCTGCTTCTTAGAATCTGTATCTTCCTTCAAGACACAGCTCAGGTATCACCTCTTCTGTTAGGGTTTCCCTGACCTAGCACCTTTTCTGTACCCCCTCACATTATTATGCTTTCTCCATCCCGAAATTACCTTATATTTCCATTTTTTATATGTAGCTAAATCCTCCCTCTTGGCTCCCCCCTCCCCCCCAACATGAGCTCCTCAAGAATGAGGAATTTAATTTTTAATCTTTATATTCCTAGCCTCCCTGGAACAGTGCCTTGTGCTTAAAAAAACAAACAAAAAAACAAAACAAACAAAACAAAACAAAACCAGAAGCTATGATTTCATAGTGCAAGGAACTCAGGGTGAAGAAATTCCCTTTACCAATGCAGATTCTCAGTAGCTGTACAACTCATAGCCTTAGACAGTGATTTGGGGTACTTAGACTAATCTAGGGTCACACAGCCAGTAAATACCAGAAGAAGGATTTGAATCAAAGTCCAGCAGCTCTCTTTCACCATTCCATGCTGGCACATAGAAGGTGTTTTTTGAATTGAATTGCTGACGATATGTGAAACGTGGAGAGGTTCAGGACAGGTATAATTACTCATATATAGGTAGGTCACTGTAACTCCAAGTTTGCAGTTGTCTTTCAATTACATGGAATTACATATTTGACTCCTAACCTGTTCAGCTTTCTCTGAGTCTCCAGTCAAGAAAGTTCTTTCCCTTCAGACCTCACCTAGCACTTTGTTTTGCAGGGCTCTAATGCACATATATTATAATCTAGTACATTATTTATGTTTGTGACTCCTCCCCTTCTTCTAGATGGTCAGCTCTGTGAGGACAATGTCTTATCCAAACTTTACGTTTTCCCAAGTGCCTAGAGTAGTGTATTGTATATAGTAATTCATACATGCTTATTTAATTCACTAATTAAATAGAAATGTGCCAAGAATTTTTTTAAACCCATAGGCATAAATGCAAAGAATTGGGCTAGTTAGGTGACATTTAATGGAAAAAATAGGAGTAGAATAAGTGGAAGGAATAAGAGAGGCTAATCTAGGCAGTAGGGACAACATGAAGAAGGAGGCAGACAGGAATTATCATGATATACGTTCCCAGGGACATAATTAACTAGGCATTTGTCATACTAATCAAATTAAGACCATTAAGAATGACTATCATTACCAGGAAAGCATACCAAGACAGTCAAAGTGTTTATTGACTGGAAAATGACTAAACCAGTTTTGGTTTATGAATATAATCAAATATTACTGGAGCATAAAAATGATGAATAAGAAAAGTACAAAGCATAAGAGGACTTACATGACATGATGCAAAGTGAATAAGCAGAACAAAGAAAATATGCATAATTACTAAAACAATAGAAAAGAAAAGAAGACAATAAAAAAGAAAACTAAAACAGAACACTAATTATAATTGCCAAGCTTGGCCCCAAAGAAGAATTAAGAAATTTCATCTCCTTCCCTTCTTTGCAGAGGTAGGGGGACTATGGGTGTGGAATATTAAATAAACTGTCCAACTTGGCTGATGTGATAGTTTTGTTGAACAACCCTTTTTTTTTAATCTTTCTTATGCTTTGTGGCAGGGGTGGTTTGCTGGAGAGGGCAATGGGAAGAATGTAAATGGATATAAAAGACAAAAGATATCAATAAATATTTAAAATAAACACAGAAATGAAGGAATGAATAAAAGAGTGACCACCGCTTTTGCAACCTAAACTGTAATGATTCAGCCAGTCTGGGAAATTACTTTATGCTTTTGATCAAGATAGTTTTTTTTTCCTCTTCAGCATCCTTCTTCCTCACCACCTCAACCTCAATTTGCTTTTCTTATGCTTTCTAAACTTCTCCAGGGTGTCTATCTGGAACCAGGACATTAATATAAAAGCCCAAAGCAGGGTGGGGTATGTGTGTGTGTGTGTGTGTGTGTGTGAGAGAGAGAGAGAGAGACAGAGAGAGAGAGAGAGAGAGAGAGAGAGAGAGAGAGAGAGAGAGAGAGAGAGAGAGAAAATTTAGATTGGCAAGTAATTAAAGCACAACAGAAATGCTGGGGAAGTAGCACAACCTTCATAATTCCTGGATCATCTTCAATTAGCTTTCCTTCAATTAGCAGTGGTCACCATTTAATTCCCAAGACTCCTTTATAGTACTAAAAAAGTTCTATGTTAAATCAGTTGTGTGCTGTTCTTAGTAATTAAGCAACCTTAACTAATTGAATGATAAAGGACAAATTTGGTCTAGATGACATGCACTTAATAGGATTTGCTGGAGATACAAATCCCACTCTCACCTCTGTAACTACTTATCTATGGGACTTTACCCTAGGGAAAGCAGAGGTAAGGGAAAAAAGCAGGAGAGGTGAAGTCACAGACCACCTGTATTTTGAATCCTGGCCCCAACACTTCATAGCCATGTAAATCTACGAGGAGTGGGGAACCTGCAGTCTTCAGGCCACAGACCCTCTAGGTCCTCAAGTGTTCCCCACCCTTGAATTTCTAGGCAATTCACTTAATTTCTGTGAGCCTCAATCTTCCTCACAGTCTTATTTTGATTATTATTTATTGGAAAATGAATTTTAATCCATGTAGCAGGCCTCAGCACATTCCATTTGCATAATTGGTCTTGCATGCACTATCCTGCTCCAGCTTTTAATTGCCAAATTTGACGTCTTTCCTCAATCCTTATCCTTCTCAAGCTCTTTGCAACATTTAACAACACTAAGCACCCTCTTCTCCTCTGGACTTTTCATAGCATTTTTCTCTCCTGGATCTCTTTGTAGCCAGCTGACTGCTTTTTCCCAATCTTCTTTTCTGACTCCATCATCCTTCATGCTTTTTAATTGTGGGTAGCCCTCAAGTCTGTCTTGGTCCATCTTCTCTTCTCTCACTACATTCTATTGGTGACTTACTGGAGTTAATACTCCAATAAGTTAAATTATCATCTGAAAAGCTTTGGAGAATGGAAAGGGTATGATAAAACTGACAATTCAATTAAGTTTAATTAAATCCAGCAAGCTTTCTTTATGTACCAGGCAATGCCTATTATATATCAGGGAATTAATTGTGCATTGGGAATACATTAAAAAAACAAAAAACCCCAAAAAACTGAGACAGCCTATGCCCTCAAAGAGCTTACATTTATTTCATTGACAGATTTGGGATAGTTAGAAAGAAGAGTCTCTTAGTCAGATTCCTTTTCTCTAGTAATCTATTGTGGTATTAGTGATATGTAACCGATGGATCCATTGGCAGGTGTTATTAGTAATGCAAACAATAAAAAGGCAATTGAAGACATTCATAAAGTGTCTAGTTTGCTTAATGTATGCACCATGGATTTATTTTTGTTCTACTTTGTTTTCCCCTTACAGGAGGATCAGATATTGAGTACTTAGATATTTACAAGCCAGTGGTGTGGTTTTGGATCCTGGTAGGGCTTGCTTACTTTGCTGCTGTCCTGAGCATGATTGGGGACTGGCTTCGTGTTATATCAAAAAAGACAAAGGAAGAGGTAAGAATTATACAGTGTGCAAACATGCTTCTTCTTCCTTTACCTTAGTATAAAGCTTATGCAAATGAATCATACATGTTCACTTTTGTTTAGGAGTCAAAGCATATCTAATGCTATTTGTAATTATAGAGGCTTCATTTCCTTTACAATTAGTTTTATTTTTTACCTTGAGGCTTTCAAGTCAATTCAGAGTGTATTTGGTAAATGTAAATATGCAGAATAATACAACACATCTTTTTGTGTGTTAAAATTCTAAAATCAACCTGGTATAATTAAGGTATATGATGCATAATTCAACTTCCTGGTTATCTGCTATATTATGTTATGTGTTCCTCCCCCCTCTTTTTTTGCTTGTATATACATGTATTAAATACTGGCTATTATGATAGGCAGTGTCATGGATAGAGAGCTGGCCTCAGAGCCAAGAAGACGTAGATTCAAGTCTTGTCCCTGGCATACACTGGATCTGTGAACCTCTCAGTGCTTTAGGCAATTCTCTAAGCCTTTAAGTTGAAAAGAAGATGCCAAACTGCCTGAGCTTCTTCATTGCCAGCAGTTTCTTGTACCAGTGAAAACACAGGTCTATCCTTCTTCCCTGTATGTGTGAATATATGTATATATATAGCCACTCTACATTTTACAAAAAGGTTATATTCCAAAAGTTCAGTTGAAACTTGGAACTTAGACGTTTTCCCAGAGAAATAATGTTATAAGTGACAGGTTCTTGGGACAGAACTCAAAGCCCAAGGAGTCCATGAAAGGCAGGAGTGTGCTGGGACCAGCTCTAAGTGGTTTGTGAGGCCTAGTGTTTAGTTTTCAGAGTGGCATTTATAACTCAGAAATCACCAGTTGCTTCAAATCAGGGTTTGATGTATTGTTTTGTTGATTATCTACACTTAATAAAGTGTTAATAACACAGATTAAACTTCAGAGTGTATGCCCGTTTTCTTTTTCCCCAAAGAGCCCAGTTGTTTTCTCATTGGCCCTAACTTCATGTAGAAGGGTAGAATCCCCTTGATTCTCTCAGTGCCCAGCCAGCAATGATGTTTGGGGAAAGTGCTCCATCAAGGCAGGAAATGGGGGAGGATGATGGGGGAATAAGGGATGGTAGGCGTGGGGTCGATGGGGCTCCTGCTGATAATTCCCCGGGTTAAAATATATATATATATATATATCTCAATATCAGTCCCAGCTAGTTTTCCAGTCATCCCATTTCTTTTCTTTTCAAGTATTTGCTTTGCCTTTTACTATTATCACCTGTTGCTTCTGTGCTTCTTTCCAAGGCTTTTAATTCTTCCTGGACTACCGGGTGACATTGTATTCTCACACTCAGAACTTTTGAGGTTTTATAAGAATGGTTTTTTAAACCAGAAGCCAACACTTAGAAATATACCCATTAGAATACCCACTTTCTCTTTCTTATTTCTGTTACCTTAGACTCAAGGGCAGGGAAGGAGAAAATGAGAGAGAAAGAGAGAAGGGGGGAGAGAGAGAGAGAGAGAGAAAGAGGAGAGAGGAGAGAGAGAGAGAGAGAGAGAGAGAGAGAGAGAGAGAGAGAGAGAGAGAGAGAGAGAGAGAGAGAGAGAGAGAGATCAGGCAAAGAAATTTGAGAAGGATTGATTTCATATGGGTGGAAGTAGGAATTAAGACAGCTAGATGGCACAGTGAATAGAGTGCCAAGCCTGAAATCAGGAAGATTCATCTTCCTGAGTTCAAGTCCAGCCTTACACATTTACTAGTTGTGTGACCTTGGGAAAGCCACTTAACCCTATTTGCCTCAGTTTCATCATCTGTAAAATGAGCTGAAGAAGAAAATGGCAAACCACTCCTGTATCTTTGTCAAGAAAACCCCAAAAGGGGTCACAAAGAGTCAGACATGAATGAAAAAAGACTGAGCAAAACAAGAATTAAGGAAGGCTTCATGTAAGAGGCATCATCTCTACAGGGCCTTAAAGAGAAGAAAGGATTTTAACAGATGAAAGTGAAAGTGGATTCCATTCCAGGTATGAGGAAAAACATAAGCAAAGGATTAGCAACAGAAGGCAGGAAGTACATTAATCATGCCTGATTGGAATATAGAGTTAATGAAAAACATTGTTTGAGATAAGTACCTAGACAAGGAGGTTGGATCCAGCTTCTGGAGGGTATTGAGTCCCCACAAACATATACTTTATTCAGAAAGCAATTGGAAAACAGAAGGTTTTGTGTAGAGGAGAGATGTGAGCATAGTGTTGTATTTGGAAGATTAATTGTAAATGCTTATGGAGGATGGATAGGAATGGAGATAGATTAGAAACAGGAAGATCTAGACAAGAAGAGATGAAGCCTGTACTAGGGTGATTTTAGTGAGAGTGAAGAGGTAGGACCAGTTGCAAGAAATGTCATGGAGGTAGAAATCTAGAAAAATTTTGTAACTGATTGAATGTGTTGGTGAGGGGAAAAAGAATCATACCTAAACTTAAGATTTCAAGTATGGAGGACTTAGAAAATTGTTGTGCCATTAATACACATAAAGACGTTTTGGGGATAAGCATATTTATGGTGAGGAGGAAACCTGGTAGCATGGTAGCATGGAGAGAAGATTGACTCTGGAAGCAGAAGGCCTGGGTTCAAATCCTGTCTCTGAGGTAACATTTTGTGTAACTTTTGACAAGTCACTTAAACTTCCCTGGGCTTCAGGTTTTGAAACTGGGGGTACGAGTAGATAGTTGCTGAGGCACCTTCCAGCTCTAGCTCTATATGATCTTATGTTGATTCTGAGATTCCTGAGGGATGTTCAGCAGCAAATTTGAAATTTGCTACTGGATCTCCAGATGAGAGGATACAAGTGGAGATTGATTTGGGAGTCATTTGCACAGAGGTGATAATTGAAGCCACAGGAGTAGATGAGATCACCAAGGGAGAGTGTAGAAGTAAAGGAAAAGAGGGCATAAAAACAACAGTTGAGGAATACTTACACTCAAGGGGTAAGAAGAAGGTGAGGACTTATAGAAGTCAAGGGAGAAAGGGTTATCAAGGATGGAGATTCTCTTTTTGTCAAAGATCCAATGTGGTCTCATGAAGAGGTCATAGTAGACTAGCCATATTTCTTTTTGTGACAGGGTTCCTATACTATTAAATTAAGGGAATATTATGGATACACTTTATATATGTTTGCTAAACTTAACTAAGTTTGTAGTTCAGTGCAGGTATGATGAAGACCCATACCCTCAGGCTAATGTAGAATGAGAATGTGGTAACAATATGACATGCATAACCCTCCTGCTCTTCTCTCTCTCTGGGTAGATTCACCTCTGACCTGTATGGATTTGGGCTGATCTGATTCCTCCTCACCCCCACCCCATTCAGTTGCCAGCCATGTTCACTCTCTCTCTGAATTCTAGAGGCAATGCTGGTGTGTGCATGTGTGTGTGTGTGTGTGTGTGTGTGTTCTCCTACTTGCCACTGTAGTTTCTGAGCTAGTGTACTTTCCAGTACACAAAATTAATCACCATGACACCATTACCTCTTGAACACAAAGCTGAATGATAAAGCAAAAGCAAAAATAATCATACATTTATGCAACAGGAAGCAAAAGCAGGAATAAGCAAAACTCCACAGTCTACCTACAAACTTGGGTCACACTCAACTATCAATGTCACAGTGTTTACTAGGGGAACGTGGGCACACAGTTAAATCTAGAAGCAAGGTGCAGGCATGGGGAAACCCATGTGCCTGGGGCAACTGAAAGGTCTGCACTGTAGGCATTGAGGTCCTTGGTCCTGCTAGGAGCAATCTACCCTTCAGAAAATCACTTTTTGGCTAGCTGTTCCTCCCTTCTGGTTCTCACTACATTCCTGCTTGGCAAAGCCTCTCCTCCTCTGCTTTTAAGCTAATCAACCAGACTCTTTTAGCTCACAATCACTCTTAATATGACACTGAGAAAAAAAAAATGCTACACTCTCTCAGTGACAAGATGTTCTCCTTTAGTGAGAGAACTTCCAAACTCCTCAGATCTGCAAATAGCAGAATATTTTGCTTAGATCAATCAATTCCATGTTTGTTCTTATAGCGAAGCACAGCTCACAGCAAAACAATCACAAAACTTGGTCTTTCCCCTGTGTATTTTCCTCTTTATCTGGAAAGGGCCTCTACTATATTAAGAGTTTTCCCTTCTCTTAGGATATAAGTGGCACTAAAAAGCAAAAAGGCCTGAGAGCTCCTTACACAGCAGCCAGATTCAGCTCTCTTCCAATGAGTTTCCTAACACCTGCTGTTGTTGTTCAATAGTTTTAGTCGTGTCTGAATCTCTGTGACCCCGTTTCTTGGCAAAGATTCTGGAATGGTTTGCCGTTTCCTCCTCCAGCTCATTTTACAGGTGAAAAACTGAGGCAAACAGAATTAAGTGACTTGCCCAGGGTAACATAACTATTAAATGTCTGAGGCCCAGATATGAACTCAGGAAGATGAGTTTTTCTGATTTCAGGCCTGGCACTCTATCCACTGTGCCACCTAGCTGTCCCTTTCCAATAAGCTACTCCAGGCTTTCTCCAGCCAATCAACAAAGCAGTACTGCTCTTCCAATCAGCAAGTTCTCAACAAAACAATGGAAGATTCTGTTGTCTTCACTAGAAGCCTTTAATGCTTTCTGTCCCCAATTTCTTGTAAGTCCTACTTGTTCAGCGCATTCTCCTTCTTGTTCTATCTCATCCTATAGCTTCTTCTTAAAACTTATCCTCTCTGTCTTCCCATATCTTCCACTGCCTCAAATCGGAGTCTCTTGCAGTCAGTGATTCATCTTTAAATTATGAGATAAAAATTTTAAAAAATCAACTTTTTTGTCGGGTGTGGACCCCAAATTTATATACTTTCCATAGTTCCTTAATTCTTATTTTATCTACAATTTTGTCTTTGAGCCTCTAGAATAAGTCACATGAAAATGAGTTGATGGGCCATAGTGCCTTGCAGCCATGTTACTTCAGTTAAGTTACTACTTATCAGCTTTCAGATTAGTCCCACTG